ACAGTCATTGGCACTGTTTGGCACCCATGATTACAATTTTTATGATCTTTAAAGTTACTGGCAACACTGAACTTTTTCTGCGCCTGTGCAGTGTGCATGTGTCAAAATTTGTTATTGATGTTGCCACAATTTAATCAATTTGTTTCAAAACACAACCGTGAAACTGCACCAAGTCTCGCCATGGATTCTCCTAAATTGAATGGTCAGCGTACATCCTCATGCCTGTCCGAAGAACAAGGTACATCATTTCGCGCCGGACGACGTACAATCATTCCGACCACCCAGCATGAAGAAATCAAGACAATCGCTTGCATAGCAACACTCCGTTATCAAAATCGTTACACCGGTGACGGCACATTTCCTCCCAGACAAAGAACAGCTGACAGCGGTATCGTGACCGGACCGAGGTTTCCAGCCACGGCTACACGAACTAGCGATGCAGCTCCCACGGCTGCGGCTGCTTCTAATGCTGCTGCTGCTGCTGGTCCGTCTCCTACAACATTCTTTTGACGAATTTTAGAGGAGACGGACCAGCAGTAGCAGTAGCATTTTAAGCAGCCGCAGCCGTGGGAGCTGCATCGCTAATTCGTAGCTCTGGCAATACACTATTTAGGTTATGTCTTGAAGGACGTTCGACTGTGCCTTAAATTTAGCTTTGATATTGTTTCAATGAAGGGAGAAATCAATAAGTGGATGTAATCAAGATCGATCTTCCGCCGGGTAGGTTCGAATCGAATTGGAAAGGACATTACAAGGGGGGGGGGTGTATGCGTGGTTTTGGATGGTGCAGACAATGACGATGATGATCGTTGATGGTGGGGTGAGAGCTGACGAACGAGTTACGTCGTTGTTTTTGCTTTCCTGCTAAGGACATGGACTCCATCTTACATTGGTTCATCGTGTTCGGGACCAGGGCTCTAAATTTTCGAAGCTCTAAAATGAACTCGTGTTTTGTTTCTCTCATACATACGTGTTCGACGCTTCCTTTCTATAACGCCTAGCTATACTATCAGCAAGAAACGAAAATAAAAAAGCAGGACGCTTAGAAGGAAAGGCTGACTGTGGAACTTCTCCTCGTTGCTTTGCTCATCGCTTTCAATGTAACTAACGTCGATTTTCTAGTTAAACGAAACCTCATTATGGCTTTCAATCCCCTTTCACGAACACTCTATCACCGCTCTTTCAATTTGTTTAAAATGCGTTATGTCCCGTTTTTGATCATTTTTTTTAGATAAATATATGGATGGAAGATAAATTAAAAATATTACGTGTAATCTTCACGTGTTTTCACGTGAGAAATGCTTTAAATGTGTTATTTCATTTTCCGTCATATACTTCATGAAACCTCTGTTGATGTGTTTCATGAAAGAGAAAACTATCAGAGTCGAGCGCTCTGTCGCTCATCCGTTTCACCGAAGCTTGAAAGGAAGACCAATGGAGTGACGGGAGAAAGAGAGACAAGCGATTGAACATTTGTTTGTGCACGCCGGCTGCGGTTCTAGAATGCTGCGAAGCTGTTCGACTTTAACAGAAAAAGAAAGCCAGCAGTCTCTTCGTCGCATCAATTTGGTCGATTGAAGCTGATATTGTGACGCCCTGTTCGGGACAGCCGCCCGTCACCGAGATGGACGTCACTCCACCGGACGCTGCTGCCACGACGGAGGTTGTCGCGGCCGCTGCCGACATTGGGTTGCCAGCACTCCGTTGGCAGAAACGTCATCCACGAACATGTTGCTTGAAGTCTAAGACAATCTAAGACAGCTGATGAAAACATTGAGAAATTATGCTCCGTCCACCTAGATGTTGCGCGGCAAAATAATCGTGATAAATGTTGAACAATCGCGTACATGTAGGAAGTAAACATTTATTATTTTTATTTTTAAATTAGGCAAGCTAATTATGAAAAATTTAATTTTCGTAAATAATTATTCACAAAAGATTTTTTTAACGCATACGTGTCATCAATGCACATATAAACCTACACGGTAAGAAAAAAGTACCCAACGGCCAGTTCACTTTTACCTACTTTTGACTAGTTTGTCTCCTTTTCTCCTTCTAATGTTGTCAAAAACTGAGGAGCAAAACCACCCAACAGGGGTAGTAAAGGTTGGGAACCTAACGTTGAGTATAATCATATTTACCTACTGTTGGGTACAACTAACTTACTTTTGGATTGAAAGCTAGTGGAAAATTCCATACGAATTGCACACAAGTAAATGAAAATTACTTTGACCCGCTTTACCTACTTTTGGGTTCCTGCACTATAGTGCCGAGATGAGTGAAAAGAACTTATTTTTGGGTACTTTTTTCTAACCGTGTAGCATAAACACTGTAGGCTGCAGTGCTGACACCACCAATGCACAGTGGTCCAGAATGTAGATTAAGGTGGGATGATATGTTTTGAGCCTGAAATTGCAACTTTAAACTAAAAGTCTCTTCTACAAAGTTGTTCCTTATAGTTAGGCCCTCATTTTTATGACAATGAATTCTAGGGTGGTTCCTATTATCATTAAAATCAAAAATCTAACTTTTTTGTTTTAATAAATTAAGGTATGCATTCTTGGGCAAAGCTGTGCTAATTTCAAGTAACTTTGTTGATAATAACTTTTTTGTATCTCTCAAATTGGCTGATTTAGAGCTATTTTATTGAATTGAATTAGGGTGGCTCTTAAAAAAACAGTTGTTTTGCTCTAGTTTTCTTATTTCAAATTTCTCAGCAAAGGTGTCTTCAAATAACTTTAAGATCAAAGCTTTTCAATATCTTTCGCCGATCAAGAGTTATTGACGTTTTTATACTAAAAATATGCATTTTTCAAATTTTTATATCTCTGGTTGGGGCAAACATAAAAAAGTTTTTTACGGCATTTGAAAGGTCTTATGTTATTATCAATAATATGAAAAAATTGGAGGTAAGTTATTTTTTAAACTCGTTTAAAACCAATTTGAACTTATTCATATCTTTTACTATATTTGGGTATACCTAAGAAAACTAGAGCAAAACAACTATTTTTTTTAAGAACCTAGGGTGAGAATTTCTTTGGCAAAGTTATAGCTGAGCTAATTTTAAGCAACTTTGTTGAAAGTATTTTTTTGTATCTCTTAAATTGGCCGCTTTAGAGCTATTTTCTTGAATTGAGTTAGGGTACTCAATTCAAGAAAATAGCTCTAAATCTGCCTAAAAAATTATTTTCAACAAAGTTGCTTGAAATTAGCTCAGCTATAACTTTGCTGAAGAATGTGTACCTTAATTTATTCAAACAAAAAAGTTATATTTTTTATTTTAATGATAATAGGAACCACCCTAGAATTCATTGTCATAAAAATGAGGGCCTAACTATAAGGAACAACTTCGTAGAAGAAACTTTTAGTCTAAAGTTTCAATTTCAGGCTCAAAACATATCATTCCACCTAAATCTGCATTCTGGACCACTGTGCAATGGTGGTGGCTTTAGCAACCCTCCTTCTTGGCAGAGGATTGGTTGCCACACAGAGAAAAAAGATAAACCTAAATTTAAGTTCTTTTTACTTAATTTTAAGTAATTTTGAGTTTTGCATCCCACTCTCACTTTTTGTTGTTGTCAAAAACGGAACGAGAGATTCGACTTTCTCATGACTATCGTTCAATAAGCTATTAGTGAGTATATGAGATGTTCTCAAATTTGAGTCAATTGAACTTAATTTTGGGTAGAAAATACTCACGAGTAAGTAATTAGTTTTTGCCGTAGTCAAATGTAAACTACTATAAGCGGTTTAGGGCCCATACATTAATTTTTTCCTTTGGTTTGTTTTTTCCGTCGATCTTGTTTTCCGTGCTGAGCACCAATGCTACCGACGCTAGGAAGGCAGCTCCCACACCTGGACCCTACCTATCGACCCATCAACTCATGAACCGGGGACCAACGGCTTTACTTCCCATCCGAAGGAAGGCGTGATCAGAGATGTTATGCCTCAGAACATCCCGGCGGCGCCGACTGGGATTTAACCCAGGCCTGCTGGGGTGAGAGGTAATCATGCTTACCACTACACCACCGGTGCCGCTAAGGGACCATGGTTGACAAAAGATTGACGGTCGTTGTACGGGGTCGGCTGCTTCCAATATGTAGTCCCAACTGGAGGTCGTGTCGTTTTTGTAAAAATTGAAAAACAAAACAAAAACAAGAGCTGTTTGCCAAAAAAGGCATTATTCACAAGCAAACAAAAGTCAGTTCAATGACTTCTCGGCACTGTCAGAAAAAAGTTGGCGCAAAATAAGTGTGTAGAGTGACCACCCCTTCGTCCCACACTAATGGCCACGCATCCTCCACCCCTGTGGATTCAAAAAATGCTTTGTTGTTTCCAAGAATCATCTTTGCGGCAAATGCAACGCAGTAGGCCTGGCTATTTTGATGTTTGTGTCATATCTCATGTCGTTTTCGTTTTTGCAGTGTAGCTACACCGGTGCAACACTTTTGCACCGAAACCGTTCGTTTTTGGTTTTGGTGCTACACCGGTGCAACACTTTTTCTGCACCCCTCACGATGGTGTAGCACTCGAAAAATTCGCGGTGTAGCTATATGTTTATCGCAGAACACCAATACATAAAAAAAACATGGTTGTCAAAACTCTCGTTTTCGTCGTGACGCAGCGATTACAGCTGATTACAGTTTTCAATTTTGAAAAAAAAAGAAGTTGGAATAGAAGAACTATTTTAATTGTTTGGATCCTCTTCATCGGATTCAGAGGATGAATATTTTATGATGTTTAATATTCTTAACAAAAGAAGAAAAACATTGCACAGAATGAAAAAAATTCAGGTGGGCGTAGTGGATCGCTATTTAGACGAAGAGGTAAGCATATTTTGCTTTTGAAAATAATCAGAATGATGAGTTAAAGGAAAATATACTTATGGTTTGCTGAACTTGACGGTTTTATCCATCTCCGACAAACGTGCAAACCGTAGCGCCAACCAAATAGAAAAAAAAAAAATCATTCGTAAGTTCTGTGTTGGTGGCAACTGAAAAATGAACGGCGACAAGATCAGCATCGCCGAGCTGTGCAAAATCTCGACCACTGCTAACAGTGAGGTTACCGTCGGATGCCCGTTCCCCTATCTGACCTTGGTCCGCTCCCAGCTACTGGACAGTGTTTGTGTTGCTAAAGGTGCCTTCACCGGTTAAACTTCGGCGGCTCTGCTTAAGGATCTGATCATGGAGTGTAAGTCAGATGAACTGATCACCGACAAAGTTGTGCAAGGTCTGGTCGAAGGCCTGAATATGATCGCTTGCATTTTTAAGACGCTGCAGGACCTGAAGTCGGTCAAAACGAAACCGTTTGCAATCCACCTACTGCTATTTCTCGACAGTACTCCAGCCAATTGATTTTTTTTATAGATAACTACTTCATTATTGATTTTAATCTAATGCTCTGCTGACGCCTGAGATATCATTAACGAGATGAATCTCTTTGATCCACCTTGCTCCCCTTCATTGGCCAGAACATCCACCCACACTCGCTTTTCCTGTATGGGTTCTCTTGAACCATTTTTGTTGAATTCCCACATAAACAATAAACATAACCACAACCAATCGACCACCAGTAAAAAACAATACTTTCTACTGTAACTGATAAAATTGATTGAGGAAATCGCAAAAAAAAAACATTGTTAAGATACTTAACAAACCCTCTTGTTTACTGTAAAATCCTCAATCGAAAATATATAGGTAATTCCACCCGAAACGAAAATAATATTTATCAAGCGGCAGAGAGTTAACAGTGACAGATGAATCTGATATCACACACACCAATAAAGCTACACCGCAAGCGTTCGTTAATTCGGTGCAAAGTGTAGCACCACACCGGTGTAGTGGAACGCAAAAACGAAAACGACATCAGATATGCTGCAAACATCAATATTGACAAGAACAATGATTAGGTGTTATCTAACTTAATCATTTTCCAGGATGAAAACAAAAGTGTTCATCACTGGAGCGGCTAAAAATGGACAATTTTACAAGGAGGAATGTCTCCAGAAGAGAATTTTGTCATTCATTCAGCCTCACGAAGGTTCCGTAAAGTTCTAGTCCGGTTTAGCCAGCTGCCATTACAGCAGGGATGTCATTGAATGGTATAAGCAGAATAATGTCGATTTTATTTAAAAAAGTATCAACACCACCTGATTTGGAGAAGTGGCGGTAAAAGATGGCATACCGTGGAGACACCATATTCGAAGCGGTTCCTAAATCGACGCACTCAATAATGTTCGACTCTTTTCAATCATTATTTTTGAAATGTTACTTCTGCAAATATTAGTTCCTGTGCTCTAGGGATTCTGGTGTAACAAAGTTTAAAAAAATATCTTGTCAAAATCGAGATGCGATAAAAATAAGACAATTCATCTAGCAGGGAGATGAAAAATTTCTTTTTTTTTTGTCGAGACAGCAAAATGGTGTTTTGAGCAAAGTTTTAGAAAATCTTAAAACAAATATTTTTGCTGAAGACGTCAACCCTCTGTCTCTTATGTTTACATAGATATGTTATTTTTTCTGGTAAGAGCCTTCAGTAAATCATTTTTTTGCAAATAACTTTTCAGGAAGTAATTTTTTGACATTAATATGATATACACAAATCTAATTAGAGCTGGAATTAGGGCGTAACAGCTTTGGTAAACAATGGCTTCTCTCGATGATTTCTCGGAAGTCATGGCTATCCCTGGCAAATCGACATCCCCATCGAGTAGAGGAAGACTTCTCCTACCCGATGGATATGTTTGTTTGTGTAGGTGTGCCTTGAATTCCGAGAAATCAACGAGAGAAGTCATTGTTTACAAAGGCTGTTACGCCCTAATTCCAGCTCTATCTAGAAATGTTTGTTTTCTAAAAAAACGCTTTTTGTCTTGGGAAGCAAGTCCTTATCTTCAATATTTCTTAAAATATTCAAGTTTTTGATCCAATATTAGCAGTATTTCCAAGGTCAATAGCTCGAAGTTGGGCAAAATTGGGCAAACCAGGCTGATTACATTTGAAAGTATACTTAAAATGCTGCCCAATGCATACCAAATCATTAGTCTTTTCTAGTATTCTCTGCTGATCTGCTTATTATCAAACTATAGGGTCACGACTTCCCGTATAATTGTGATTACAACCTATGTCTCAATATAGTTATATATCATCAACCGTTTCATACAATATCAAAAAAAATAATTATTCATCGCTACCCATTTCCTCGGTCGCTTACTTCTGTTCCACCATCGGTTCATGCATCGGTAGATGGATCCAGAAGAGTTTGAGCATCTTCGGACAAAAGCAGTTTTGCTTGTCAGATGATTCAAGGACCAATGTTGGTTCAGTTACCCGTTTACTACAACAAACACCGAGAATCACATTCTGGGAAGAACAAGGACCACTTTTCGTTCCATCAATCGGTCACTACTGCCGTTACTGTGAATCACCTGCCGGGGAGAACAGAGACCAATCGTAGCTCAGTCATTTTTAAACACTACAATAGAAACCGGGACTCACCTGCCACGAGAAACAAGAACCACTGTTCATTCAGTCAACCTATAATATACACTACGAATCACCTTCTTGTCCAGTCAACCGGTCACTACAATTTATAATATGGAATCAAAACTTTTACCACACGCGGCTCTTGTTTTGCATGCCTACTTAGATTTAACCGAATTCGAATTTTCATCCTTCGACACCAAGAGTAAGTGACGCATTAAAAAGCCTCTATGTACAAATGCAAGAAAACCATTATCTGTACACGGTTTACTATAGTTTGGTAATGAGCAGATCAGCAGAGAATACTTAAAAAAAAACTAATGATTTGGTATGCATTGGGCAGCATTTTAAGTATACTTTCAAATGTAATCAACCTGGTTTGCCCAATTTTGCCCAACTTCGAACTATTGACCTTGGAAATACTGCTAATATTGAATCAAAATCTAATGTTGAATCTTTAGAAATATTGAGGATAGGGACTTACTTCCCAAGACTAAACGGCGTATTTTAAGAAAACAAACATTTGTGCAGAACATACTAATGTCAAAAAATTACTCCCTGAAAAGTTATTTGCAAAAAATGATTTTCTGAAGGCTCTTACCAAAAAAAATACATATCTCTGCAAACATAAGAGATAGATGGTTGACGTCTTCAGCAAAATTGTTTTTTTTTACGTTGGATAACGTCTTTCGGCAACATACGGGGGTACAAAATTGAAAACAGTCATTTTGGATGCGTTACGAAAAATTAAAAGATTTTGAACGATAATAACTCAACCGTCTCTCGATAGATTTACGAGATAACGGCATCAATCGAATGGAAATATTTCTAGCAATTTGCTGAATGTTTCAAAACTATTGATTTCATTCTGTAAACTATTGAAAAATTGTTAAAAGTAAACCATTGTCTAAAGATGGTGAAAATCGATTGATTTTTTTTTTATATTCTTATACTTTCTCCAACCGAGACATCAGATGCGAGTATCTGACACCTCTGATATTTTCTGTTCTACTATATAAGCGTCCAACAAGGTCGCCCGTTCCATCATTGTCTATCCGATCGTCGACCCAGCAGCAGAGCAGCAGAGCAGCAGTACCAGAGCAGCGGAAGCAGAGCAACGGCAGCAGAGCAGCGGCAGCAGAGCAGCGGCAGCAGAGCAGCGGCAGCAGAGCCTGGGGGCGAAAGGGCAACTACGCCGAGTGCGTTGGTGCCAGTGCTCCGGTATACTGGGCCGGCGTCATGGAATGCCCAGCTGCTGCAGTTCTCAGTCGGTCGTATTCACCGTCTGCTCCGCAAGGGCAACTACGCCGAGCGCGTTGGAAAAATGGCCCTTTTCAGGGCCACAACATTATCAAGAAAGAGTTTAACGATTAATTTTCTAATGCCTTTCCGACACTTGAATATCGAAAGTTGAATCTTCGCAGAGCCATAGATTCCATTTTTATTGCATTTCTACAAAACTTATTTCAGAATCGAACTCGTCTTCACAGACTGTGTGAAGAAGAACGATGCATCATCGAGCACAACCCGTTCCGTTCCAAAATCGTCCTCATCACAACTTCCAAAACAACCATCTACCCTCTCGACATCTCGAGTGGATTTCCCGGTTCATCATACCACCTAGCGCTGTTCTACTGATTGGTAATAATATTTACCCGGAGTTCACCGCACTCGTGGTTAAAGCAAAGCGCCCGGCATGCAAACCGCTCATCAAAATCGCCATCGCCATCCGGTACCCATGCTCGGCATAACCATCATTCCAAAACCACAACCAAAACGGCCCTTTTCAGGGCCACCAATAATTCGACAAAGAGTTAGTTTTGAAGAAAATTTATTTCCAGAATATCACAGTTACACTTAAATTTGGGGACTATACTGGGGTGTGGGAACGCTGGAAGGGGAGATGCTGTCTGTCTTCGAACTACCAACATCATTCCAAAGCTCCTCCAGGGCGACAGAGTAGAGCAAACCCAGCAACATCAGCCCAACAAACCGGCCCTTTCCAGGGCCACCAAACTTTCGCAAAAGAGTTATTAAGGAATATTCCTAAAATATAATATACACAATTAAGTAGAACACATAACAGACGTTATCCAACGCCAACCCTGCGGTCGTATCTAGTATACAACCCTTCGAACTTTTTTGTTGACGTAGGCCTACGTCTTTCGGGAAGATGGGGGTACACTTTATGAAAACCGATAAATGAAATTATGAATGATTTTGAACGTTAATAACTTAGCTGCCCCTGGACCAATTTCAAAAAAAATATCACCAATCGATCAGAAACATTTCTACGCATCGATAACAATGCTTTTGACTGTTGATTTTCAAACTGAAACTATTGAAAAAGTGGTAAATTTCAAGCATTGTCCAAAAGCTTCGAAATAACAAACAAATCCACCAATTACGTAAATGCATATGCTGCTTCCCCAACACAGTCATCAGAGAATGGTTCCTAGATGAAACAAGTCGAAGTAAAATTTGCATCCGATCTTCGGGCGTGTACGAATAGGGAGGATGCAATTGCGGAACATTTTGCTACCAATTCAGAACCACACGCTCCCAACGACCACACAAAATGCTCTCCGTTTTTTTTCCTTGGATTTGTTTTCCGTCGATCTTGTTTTCCGTGCTGAGCACCAATGCTACCCACACTCATGAACCGGGGACCAACGGCTTTACTTCCCTTCCCGTGATCAGAGATGTTATGCCTCAGAACATCCCGGTGGCGCCGACTGGGATTGAACCCAGCTAATTACGCTTACCTGAGTGAGAGGTAATTACGCTTACCACTACATCACCGGCGCCGCTGCTCTCCAGAGTTGTAATACTGTAACCAAACTTGGAAGCAGGGTATACTCTATATAAATTCTATT